TCAAAGACCTCATAGTGCTTGGAGTGGCAAGATTGGCAGCGATTTATAACTGGTGAACTATCAAAACCACTTGAGCAAGAACCTCGGAGCATACCCTACATGCGGGATCTGGGGAGGGTGGGAAATTGGGTGAGCCTTCTCCCTTACTACCCCCCTTTAAACATGAAGGAAACAATATGGAAATAATAGTCTTACCCACTTTCCTATAGCCCTTGAACCTTTTTACCCCAATTAATTATGTAAAGATTGTCAAAAATATAATAAACAAATGAATGAATGAATAAATAAATAAAAGACTTATTTACTTTTATTGGAAAGTCTGATTTAGAGAGAGCAGGAGAGACAGAGAGAAAGATCCTCCATCTACTAGTTAATGCCCCATGCGGCTGCAAACAGAGCTGAGCTGATCTGAAGCTAGGAGCCAGGAGCTTCCTCTGGGTCTCCCACATTGCTGCAGGGTCCCCTGGCTCTGGGCTATCCTCTACTGCTTTCCTTGGCCGCAAGCAGGAAGCTGGAATAGAAGCAGGTGGGATATGAACTGGTGCCCATAGGGGATCCTGGTGCATGCAAGGGGAGGACTTTAGCCACTAGGCTACTGCGCAGGGTCCTCTATGTGTTTATATATATGAACCTCTGTACTTCTATAAAACCATTCTAAAATACAATACAATCTAACCATATTTATTAGATTATTCTCATTTCCCTCTGTTACAATGTAAAAAATCACACAAATATATCTATGAGATTTTGGGATAAAAAGTTTTCAAATATTTGTCATTTTATTTGAAACGTAGGAAGATGCTCAGAGATCATTCCATCTGCTGATTCATTTACCAATGATGGTAATAGCCGGAGCCAGGCCACACTGAGCTGGAGCTCCAGGCAAGTCTCCCGTGGCTGTCAGGGGCTCAAGTACCTGAGTCGCTGTCTACTGCAGCCCAGAGTGCACAGCAGCAAGAAGCCGGATCACAAGGAGAGGAGACAGAGAGCCAGATGCCTGCGGGCGCTTCAAGCAGAGACCTAACCACTGGTCAGTCCCTCAGCCCTCACACTGCCTTAGGACCATTAGAAAATGCACCCTGCCAACTTAAAAAACGATTCTTAAAAGATCCTAATACCACGAAATCAACAAAAGCCATCTGCATTAAAACTAAGTAATGATTCTGATTGAAAAAAAAAAAAAAAGCCAAGACTGCAATATCTAAATTTTGCAAACCACCAAATACATTACACAGGGGAATTATTTCCCTCAACCATCACAAGGAGGAAAAAAAAGGACAGTGGTTGAATGAATTGTATATGTCATATACACAATGACATACAAAGACTTAACCAGATATACATATATTTCTAAATTTTTATTGGAAAATCAGACTCACAGAAGATATTCCATCTGCTGACTCATTCCCCAAGTGGCGGCAATGGCCAGAGTAGAGCCAATCAGAAGCCAGGTGCCAGGAGCTTCTTCTGGATCTCCATACAGGTACAGAGTCCCAAGGCTTCTGGCCATCCTCCAGTGCTTTCCCAGGCCACAAACAAGGAGCTGGATGGGAAGCGGAGCAGCTGGGACACGAACCAGTGCCCACATGGAATCCCAGCAGATGCAAGGCGAGGACTTTAGTCACTAGGCCACTGCACTGGGCCCAGGGGCCCAGAGGAAATATTTTTTAAAAGCCTCAAACATCCTAGGTTCTAATTTTCCATGTAGAATTTGGCTCAAATGGCATGACCGACACCAGAGACAGCCACAAGAAAGTGACCTGAAGCAATCTAAAGTGGACTTTTTATCAGTCTTGATAAAGTCCCAACAACAAGGTTATAGCAAGAAGGCCAGGGCTCCTCTTGCCTTGTAACAGACCAAACACCTGACCAGTCAATGAGACTATACCCAGGACTGGAGGACCTCACACAATTTGCTGGAAAGGAGAAGCATCACACAAAGGTACAGGGCAATGATTGCTAACGGATCCAGTCAGAGCAATAACACCCAGTGTCAGTGAAGGTCAGAGCAGAAAGCCGAGGGAGACTTCACTACATCATCTAAGAAAGGAATCTTCAGGCCCTGGCACATTAGCCTAGTGGGGAAAGTACCAGCATGAAATGTGCTGGGATCCCATGTGGGCACAGGTTCATACCCCAGCAGCTCCACTTCCCATCCAGCTCCCTGCTTCTGGCCTGGGAAAGCAGTCGAGGACAGCCCAGGCCCTTGGGACCCTGCACCTACATGGGAGACCTGGGGGAAGCTCCTGGCTCCTGGCTTCAGATCGGCTTGGCTCCGGCTTATTGCAGCCATTTGGGGAGTGAACCAAGTGGAAGGCAAATCTTTCTCTGTATCTCTCCTTCTCTCTGTAAATCGAACTTTCCAATAAAAATCAATAAATCTTAAAAAAAAGGAAAGGACTCTCCTGTTCTACTGGAGAGGGATCTCAGTGGAAACTTCTTAATCAAAATATGCAATAGTAGGAATTGGGAGGGAAAATGTAGTCTGTTTGGGGTTACAAAAGGAACTCTCTCAGTTTTCATCACTGGCTTTTACAGAATTCCACCGGGGTGTCACTCTCTACGTTGGCAAAGCACCAACAAATAAAAATGGCAATGAATCTAATAGTCACTTTGCAACTGTCCAGTAAGGAAATTCTTCTGTAGTTGTTATCATTGAAAGTTAGTAAAAACAAAACAAAATAGAAAACATTTCCACACAGCCTTGTGAGGGCCTTGTAGTGACTATTACATTTAAAGTGATATCTGAGGTATGTCATAAGCTTACACACAGCTGACATTCTTGCTAGCAAGACTTGGAGAATGCTAGTTCAACTGCATCATAAAAAGGGATTTTGCTCCTTTTAAAAGGTGCCAAGTATGATATATCTTTATCCCAATAAAGTGGTGAGTGACGTGGCCAAGTTACACACAGTTTAAAGAAATTGCGTCATGAGATCCTTTTTAGTTCCAGAGCATGGAAAAACAACACAAACATAACATTTATTCAACTCTCTGAAGGTCTGTCATAGGTTTGCACATATATTGCATTTTCTGTCCCATCATGTTCCTGGGGCTGGTACTCCTGTGATCGCCAAGGCAAGGCAACTCCACTGGCAGCCACACTCAGTAAGGAGCAGAGCCGGTCCCTCCAAGCTGCAAGCCATACCCTTCATGCACCATGCTGTCACATCAGAGCAACTCCAGGAAGGGGAAGCTAAATCTAAGCCAGAGTCAGCAAGGCTAAAACCTGGCTTCAAAAAGAAGAGACTAGAACGGCTATAACCAGGAGGAATAACCAGCTTATAATCCAACACGCTATGGATTGGACCGGTAGACATTTTCACTGAGAGAAAACTTCTTTTAAAAAAAAGTTAAAAGAATTACCAGGAGAGGGACAGTTTTCTATTTCTAGCAAGTAGAGAGCGAGACCAAAATATCTGGTGGCACATTAGGCTGTGTATGTGTGATATGACACATGGGTTAGGTTGCCTGCACAGGTTCCAAATGTGTCCAAAGAAAAGTCCAGATCCAAGGCTATGGGCAACTTGCATGATGATTCCTCATATAGAGTTACATTTTCATGTTTGTTATTCAATTACTCAGTTAAACTGTTTCTTTATCATTGAGAAGCTACTATTGTAGCTACTATTGTAGCTTCTCAAATTCTACAAATATTTTTATTTATTTCGATTATATAAAAAGTTCATTATGTTTGGAGTTAGGATGACTGACTCAAAAGCTCAAAGTTCTTATTTAAACAGGAAAGATTAAACAGGAAAAGCTTGTTGAAATCGAGTTCATCAAAACAATACAATCACCCAGCAGATGTGCACTTTATGAATGAATATGAAATACCATGTTCTTACATGCTGCCCTGATTTTAAGAACTCGAGTGGCTAATAAGACATCTTAACCTTAATTCATTCCTGTTTTCCTATCTTGCTGAGAAAATAGTGGTACAGAATCCCACCAATGGGAGGCTTCAAGACAGTGAATTTATGGCATAACCAGACCAGAAATCAGACTTCTTGAAAACAGATTCTTCTTGGGCTACTTTGGTTCCAATCCATCAAAAAGGAATGTGGAGTATATATTCATCTTTGAAAGCACATGCATACTTATGTCTGTAATTTTAAATCTAAAGAAAGAATAAGCTGTACATCTTAGTAGATAAAATTACATTTCCTAATAAATTTAAGTAAAACTACATGTTTTAAATATTCTGGACATAAACTTGCCTATTTACAAATGAATTGATGGATAAACTTTTAAGTAGAAAATTCACATGAGAGCTCTGGGACTACATATCCCAGTATCTGGGTTTACCCATGTCAGAGATAACTTGATGTTTGCTTTGCTTGCCTATTTCAAAATAGTGTTTACTGACCTTTAAGATCCAAAAGTCTTACTGGAACAATGAAAACTTGTATTTATGGCCTATAATAAATTGTTGATATATCCACAGTAAAAAAACTCATTTGTTTTATAGAAAATTACACTATACAGTTTAATACATGGTGGAAGACCATATGAATACATTTTTTTAAAAAAATAAATGATGCTTAAAATTCTGTCCAGAGTATCAACCACTTTTCTGCTCCCCAAAGCACATCTGTGTCCTGCTAATAACTCCGCTCCAAGTGAATGCCATAACCAGGAATATGATCCACTCATGTGACCTGGATTCTCCCATATGGGGCAGGCTTCCTTGGTGTCCTTGCTTCCTTAGAAAGAAATGTGAAAGAGAGTCACATGCAGAGAGACAGAAGGAGAGCCAGAAGGAGAGCCAGAAAGGGAGAAATCCCGCCTGCTGGTTCATTACCTAACTGCTCAGCAGCCATGAAACTCAATGAGTCTCGCTTCTCACTTGCTGCCTCCCTGGTACCCAGGAACAGAAAGCTAGAACCTGGAACAGAGGCTGAACTCAACTCCAGGTGCTCTGATGGCTGAGCCCACAGTGCCACATGCCTGATCCACGCCCACACCCAGGATGGCAAAGCTCTTGTGTTCCTACTCACCTCACATGGTAATCAGTTGCTGGTCTAAGATCTTTCAGGTTACACTCTAATTCTTCTCCACTGCAATGAAAACCTTTCATTAGTTCATGACATCAGTTGTCAAAATTAAACAAGTTCTGACTTGGGTCCATAATCATATCCTGACAAGAACTGAAGAAATATTATTGATCCCACTATTAAGCTAAAGTAAACTCTTGATTTGGTAATGGTATTATGATGCCGATGACAGCAATGACTAGAAAATCAGATCCCTTTTAACAACACCATTCTGGATTTGGAAAATGTCAAGGTTAATATTCATAAAATTCCAAAAGACCTCACATTTTTAAAAGCAACAACACACTAATAAATGAATAACACAAATAAGCTCACAAATAGAGACAGAAATACATAAATAACTGTTCCAGCTATCCAGTGAAGGAAGCTCCCAGACTCACCTGGCCCTCACTTCTTACAGCTGTGGGCTGCCTGGATGAAATTGTATTCTGTATCGCTCACAATCTGTTTACAAGAGTAAACAGATCTCACATTTAAAATGAGGCCATTTAGGGCCAGAACGATGGCTCAGCTGGTTAACGCTCAGCCATTAAGCACTGGCATCCCATATGGGCACCAGTTCATGTTCTGGCTGCTCATTTCCCATCCAGCATCCCCAAAGCCTAGAGATCCTGCCCCTATGAGGAAGAGCTGCAAGAGGCTCCCAGCTTTGGATCAGCTCAGCTCTGGCTTTTGAAGAGTGAGCCATCTGGGAGTGAACCAGTGGACGGAAGATCTTTCTCTCTCTCTGTCTTGCCTTTTCTCTACAAATCTGCCTTTCCAATATAAATAAATAAATAAATAAAATTTAAAAAAAAAACCATGACGCCATCTGCATGGTCATAAGTTTTGACTACACCTCAGAGGAGGAAACAATGAAAAATGAAGTGTGTTCAAGGGTGTGGAGCACGACTTAACTGCAAACAAATGACAGAAATATACAAAGAAAGTACTCCAAATTATAAAAGGTCAAAGAGAAATTCAATATCTGACCTTAGAGTGGATTTGGTCATGGAGGGGAAGAAAAATTCTAGAACATTTTGCAAAGTAACAAACATTATTTAGATCAAGAGACAAAATCTGACTATGGATGATGAATTAGACAAAAGTAATTATTAATGGACGTTTGTAGTTACAAGAAAATACTCTTGCCTTTGGGAAATATATTTCTAATAGAAAAAAATAAATATATATGAGAAATACCTAGGAGTTCATAAAGCAGCAAGAGCTGATCTTTTATTCTGTGTGTTAAACTTTCGACCAGTTAAGAAAGTTTTGGAATGAAATGTTTTAAAGTAAATAATTTTTTACAATTTGGAAAGCTACTACAGAGAATTAGATATAGGTTATATAGCTATACTGTAAAATTTGTAAAAACAGGACTATTAAATCTGTTGTGAGTATGCAAAAACTAGAAGTCAGTCAATTTTTTGCCATGGGACATTAGAATAAACTTTGTATTAATATAAAACTGACAAGATAATAACCAAATGATATATTTCATGAATGCCAAATAACTCTACTAATTTCTAATTGCTCCACACAAAAATCTTTTCTTAAAACTGTAAATGAACTACATACAGAAAAACTTTCAAGACAGAGAGAGGAAAACTTGTAATACCTTTGGTTCACATTTTCTCCAACAAATTAAATTCCACAGTTTGGTGGCAAATTACACCACATGGAAACATACACTACCTGTAAATTATCTTGTATTTTCCATCTCGTCCTTTGTCTGATAAGGCAACCTCATAACTGTAGGGGAAGGAAAGGCCACTGTGGGGGCCACAGGAAAGTCCAACTGGGGGAGCCCAGGACAACACAACCGCTCTCGCCTGAATGTTAGAAACCTAAGGAAGAAAAATGGGGGACACAGCATTATAAAACCCATCTCACATGGACCAGACATTGCTTGAAGTAACACTTCTGGTATTATTATTTATGTTGTATGTGCAAGTGAGGGGTGGAGAGGGAGAGAGACAAAGAGAGAGAGCGAGATACAAGCAAGCTTCAGTTCAAATCCCAGCTGCTCCACTCCATTTCAGCTCCCTGCAGATATGCTCACCAAATTCCTTGGTTGACTGGACCCTTATGGATGACACAAATGTAGTTATTCTTCTGCAGCATGGCCCAGTGCTGACCTTGACAGCCATTTGGGAAATGAACCAGCAAGTGGAAAACATGTCGTTATCTTTCCCTCTTTCTCAGTAAAGGAGTCTAAACTGGGCCTCCACATCGGTGCAAGAGCCCAAGCACCCAGCCCATCTTCCACTGCTTCCCCAGGCACATCAGCAAAGGGCTGGATTGGAAATGGAGTATCCAGGACCTGAAGCAACGCTCATATGAGATGTTGGCATCCCAGGTGGTGGCTTAACTTGCTGTACCACAATGCCGGCCCTGATTTACTTGACTTTTTTTTTTTTTAAATAAAATGATCGATAGATGGACTACTACATCATGTGGGAAGAATCTCAAAGTATTCTTCAAAACTGATATTTATAACCACATCCCTTGAAATCTGGCAGATTCCCAGAAAACTCCTGTGGTGGCAGTCTGGAATGAAGGATCAGGCTGATGTAGGGCAGAAATACACGTAGAAGTGATGTTCCACCTTCCCAGGCTCTGCTTAAGACTGCATCTGAACAGGCAGGTTTGGTCTGAAGCAGGCTTTCATGCCTTACTTGCATTATCCTACAGCACACCCAGGACTGCCTTGAGGACTGGGTCCCAGGAGCCCGTGTCCATAACCTGATCACCAACAGGTGCTGTGATGGCTTCCCTCCCTTTCTTGGCTCGGGTTTCCGTCTCTAACTGAGGCTTCCTGGTTCTTGTTTCCAAATAAATTATCTGCATTTACATCTTTGGTTCAGAGACTGTTTCTAGAGGAAACCAATATAAAATATAGCCTAATTTTTAAAAATACATCTAACACTAGAACTTTGGTGCTTTAATTTATTGCTATCAGTTTGGCTTGAATAATGTATAAAAAAAAAACCAAAGAAATACGACTTAACATCAATGTAAAAGCGTAACGCTTACCAAGTCTTAATAGCTATAGATTACGAGGCTACAGAGAGGGATATATCTACCCAGTTAACCTCTACTGTTTTTCTTCTTATAAGCACAATGACTGCCAAATGTCTTCTGAGGTGGCTTACTCATTCCATTTTTTTAGCAGGGATCTCTCTACCCCATTGATTTATGGTTTGTACAGATACAAACCATATGGTGATGGGGTTACCTAGTCACTCTGACTCCTACACATCCTTCAAGACCAGCAGAGCCTCATTCCCTTCTCTGTAGGATCTCTACTTTCTGCTCCAGGGAAGCCCGTGTCAGTGGCTACCCTTGCTGAGCTTGTTCATGGTCTTTGGTTCCTCCTCCACTGGGCTCCCGGTGGAAATCAAGGCCCCAGTCCCCCTTGACTGTGAGGGCTTGGCCAATGTTTGTTGAGTGAAAAACAGTCAAAGCAAACAAGACAGCCTGCACTCCTGATGTAGGCAACTAAGTGGATGGTAGTCACAAATTATTACAAAACCCAGCTTTATTTTCCCTGCTCTAGCCAAACAGCTCTTCCTTGCTGTCTCTTCCACTCATCAATCCGGTGCTGCTGGGACCAATGCTCAGGGCCATGCCCCCTCAGACCCTCACTCACCTTCTCACACGGAGTGATTTCCCTGGCTAACTTCCAAGACAGCATTACTGAGGTATTCCAACATATTTGCTGAAATTCTGCATTCATATAAATGGGTAATCCTGAGGGCATATCTCATTATTAAAAAAAGATTTTACTCTGAACAGCTTAAGTTATCAGGAAAATGGAGGCTGACCAGGCTGTGGGAAATGTTTGACTGAGGTGTTGGAATAGCTGTCTGCACAATCTCATTTGTAGTCATGGAACCTACAAAGGAGTGTGGGTTAGCATCCTGTTTCTCAACAGCTCAGGCACATCCCAGTCCTAGATCCCAATCAGGAACTGCCTTATTTCATCTACTTGAAAGGCAGCATTAAAGACAGCGGGAGAGTGAGATTAGTCTTTCATTCACTGACTCACTCCCCAAGCGCCTGCAATGGCTAGGGCTAGACCAGCTGGAATCCACACTTGAAGCCTCATCAGGCCTCCCACGTGGAGGCAGGGACCGAGCCTGGAGTTATCAGCTGCTGGGAAGCATCAGCAGGAAGCTGCACTGGAAGCAGAGCATCTGGGACTTGAAGCAGACACTCTCCTATGGGATGCCAGCACCCCAATCAGAAGTTCTATCCACTGCATCAAATGAACTATTATAAACTTGACTCCCTTCCGTTCTGTTGGACTAGGCTATTATGTACATGAAAAGATGTGTAACATCTGAAGCATCAGCTACAGTTCCGCTCACCTTTCCTCTGGATTCTGAGGTAGCCTGCAGATTAACTGGCCCCTGAAGGCAGGTATTTGTGGATAATATTCTCTGCCTATGCCTGCCCGTCAGGATGGCACTGTGAGAACTCTGCATCACGTTCACAGGATGGTGGCATCCTGCCACCTGCATTGGCCTCCAGAGCCCCTGATCCTGACTTGCATGACTCCTAGCCTCGGGCTGCTCTTTTTTAGGCAAAGTAATTCTGTGAAAAGTAGTGCTGGGTCTGCCTTAGCACTCGGAACTCACATCCGTTTCAAAGCCAATTCCAGGAAATAACCAAGTCCTTTTCAAGACAATGTCCAAGAGATGTGACTACTCAGCGTTTGTTGTACCTATTTACTGCAAGTGTCCCTGGTGGTGATACTGAGAAATTGGAAACTCCAGGGGTAGATGTAGCTTCAAAGTTAGTTCAGAGCAACTACACAGGAATGGGACTTTAGCACTTCAAATCCCTCTCTCTGGACTGGAACTTTCTCAACAGTAGAGATGGTGACGCTGAGTGTGGCATGGCTACTCCGATCATTGCAGTAACCATGAATCATTGCCACCTCTCCTCAAAATAGGTTTGCAAACCGTAAAACAGACTTCTTGATGTCGAATGATTCTATCGTAACTGGTAGTCAAACTCCATCACAATGATTTTTAAAAAAAGTCATTTTTCTACTTACAGAATTGCCAGGCCAGGCAGTTTGATAGTCCTGCACGAGGGTTAAAAGGGCCTACAGTGCAGGTTGATCGGGTAAGTTAGCCTAAGGATAATTTAAGTTAAACTGCTTTCAAAGTACTTAGGAAATCACTACCCACTAATAAATGATCTTGCTGATTAGACGTGTTTCTTGTCTCTGTATTTATATTAAATATACATTCCAACCTGAGTCCAGTTGTCAGTCAGATGGAAATGATAAACTCAGTCACAAAACACTTATCTTTAGTTCTCTTCCTCTGTGCCCCTTCTCTCCTGTCATGTCAGTAGTTTACTATTCTGAATAATTCTACATCAGAAGCGCCACTGAATTCTCAGTTATTAAACTGTTATTGTCATGTTCAAAAATACCTTTTTTATGTGGGTTGAAAGTTTCTAATGTGGAGGCCTGCTGACATGATGAAGGAACACATTAATGGAATACTGCCCAGCAATACTGGCTACACTGCTAAAACACTATCAGGACAAATAACACGGAGGAAAGAACACCAAAGAAAAAGGACACTCTGAGCATCGTATAGCCACGTGTCTTCGAGTCCTTCCAGGAAGAAACCTTGAAGCTCCTCCCAGACTGATTGCTGTGGATCTGTAATGTGGAAATGTTACTCTAATGTGCCTGGGTTGACTCACTTCTGGGACTGACTAATCAATTGTTCCTACAAGCACAACACTAGTGGATGGAAACATGGTGGGACCACAATTGCAGTCATCATTAGCTTATGTCCTAAAAAGAAACAGCCCACCACAGCGTGTGGGAGACCATAGTGGGCATCTCCTTGCAAACAGAGACCACATTAGGCTGCAGGTGGCTGGACATTTCCTCAGCTACTCAGGGTGACACCCAGCATGTTCCTCTGGGAGTACAGCAGCTGTACAGTGACGTGCCGAAAGCATCCACTTTAGTCCCAGGACAAACATCTGTTTTACTTACTTGTATTAAATATTTAATAAAATGGACTAAAATATTGGAACCCTTACATCTTAGGGGATCCCTGAAGAGTAAACAACTTGCTTAATTTAGGATGCCCAAAGTTCTACAATGCTGACTGGGATCCACAAGTCCTAAATACTGTGCAGCAAAATCTGATCATCAGCAAAATCTCAAAGAAAAATATACCCCTTTTGTTTCACAGCTGCTGCCAGATGTGGCTCCAAGAAAAAACACACACACAGTTCAGAATAGCAATTGTTTTCACAATTGTGGGCCTGACTCTGTGCAGCTCAGCTTCTTTCCCTAGAAGGCACCTGACACCTTCCTTCCTATGTCAGGGTACAGCACTGTTCGACAACAGTCTACGGAGGAGACAGGTGTAACACACTTTCAGCTGGTTCCACGTGGCACTTATTACCCTTTCACAGATGAGGAGACTTACCCTAGGTCACATAGGCAGTTCACAGTCATGCAAGGGTCTGACGCAGAGAGCCAGAGTGCAAAGCCTTGATGCCCTCTGCCAGATGCTGCCGATCGCCATCACCCAGCTGCCTGAGCAGCCTTTCTGGAAGGTTCTGTCTCATCCTCTGGTGCAGGCATCTCTTTGGCACCTGTCCCACCTGCCAGAAGCTAGCTAAGGCCACTCCAGTTGGCCACCTTCTTATTTAGCAAACATTTCTAAAGGTTTCATAGTGTGTCATAGACAGTGCTGGGCGCTGGGTGCGCAAAGACCAACAAATGTGGTCGGAAACAAGAACTGCAGAGAAAAGGGGTCATTGCAGTGGGAAGGGGAGATAACAGGGTAGACTGTCAACAGGCAGAGAAGGTTTGGGAGGAGACAGAGCGAGGAGGTCAGTAGAATAGTGGCTCCACCCCCCACATCCTAATCCCCGATCCCTTGAATACCCTGCTTTGTATGATTAAGCCAAGCAAGGGACTCTGCGATAGGGCCATGAATATGTACTATCCAGATGGGTGCAACGCCATCATAAGGGTGTTTTTGAGTGGAGAGTGAGGCAGGAAGGGAGGAAGATGGGAGCAGGGACTGCAGAGACATTGTGTCTAGTTCTTTCAATGGAAGGAGCCACTAACCAAGGAAGGCAGGCTGCCACTGGAAACCGGGAAAGTCATGGAGGATGATCCTCTCCCAGAGCTTCCAGGAAGGAGCAGAGCTCTGAGAATGCCTTGATTATGCTGGAAGAGATGCATCTGGGACCTTCCTATTTCTGAAGCTTATTCAATCAATCAGTATTATTGCCAGCCTTGCCATTTGCTAAAGAAGAAATACAAAACTAATTTGGGCAAAAACAGAAGGAACAAGTAAGCTAGTAAGTCACAAGAACATCACTGAGCTGGGGACTCACTTCTGCTGCTGTGCACTGGCCCAGGCCTAACTGGTGGATGGTGTCAATCACCACTGCACACTGAGGAGCTAACCATGTCCGTTCCCTATCAGCAGGTTCTCATCAGTGTGCTTAAAGGGTCGCCTGCAACAAGTCCAAGTCTCAGGGTTAAATATGAGCACTAGCACTGACTGAATGACAGATTGCTAATGACTCGAGAGTTCCTAATTACTTGAGATTTTGTTGTTTCTACACATCCCCCTGAAAGTGCTTCACTCTGTGTTTCTTGGTCCTAGAGAGCATCCCGCCTACTCAGCAGAATGACAACGCCAGCTACTTGCCAAGACCAAAGCAAACCCAACACTCACTACATCCATACCCATCTTTATAAACCAGGTTGACGTGAAAATGTTGCCTTTGGACACAATTTACAAACCAAAATCCATTTGAGAAATTTGGAGAAGGGCAATGGGGAAGGACAGGATCCAGGTAAACTGGCTTGACCCCGGAGAAGTTGCAACCTAGTGATACTTACCTGCAGGAACTCAATGGATCTGCCTCACAGCCCAGTGACTTCAATTAGTTAGTGTCCCAGAGTTGATCAGACTCAGAAATGAGTAAACAAGCTGTATGACTAATCTAACAAGCCCTTCCCTATCCCACCAATATCATCCATGCCTACAACTTAACTGCCACTCTCATGCATGGCTTTCCATAGCAGTTTCTGTTTCACCTTACTCTGACCTACCAAATGCATCTGACTATGTTTATGCTTCTGCATGCCTGAGCCATGAAGCAAACTCAACATGCACCAAGATATAAAAGGACATACACATTGTCCTATTCTGGAAGAACTACTGATTAGTCAGAAAGATAAAGAAACTGGGGAACAAAATACAGTGTACTAAATACACTAGCAGTGCTGAATAGAGCATAGTGGCTCTGGGAGTAGTACCAGTGGGGTTGAGTAATCACCATGAAGGGTATCCTCAGGGCACAGACAGCCGTCAGAATAAACATGGAGGTAACTTAAAGCCTAGTTATCCATGCCACAAGCTATCTAATAGCAAATAATGCTTTATGAAGCTATCTCCAGTATGGCTTTGCTACCTATCCCCTCTTTGCCAGGCCCAATGCCACCACCCTAATCCTGACTACCATAGCTTTTCAGTGCAACCACACCAGAAAGTTCCGCGTACTTCTCTCTTCCATGTGTCTGCCGACTGTTTGAGAAAATGCAGCTTTGATTGCCTCACTTCTTTGTAATACCCTCAATGGCAGTCTGCTCCTGACCAGGACAAAGTGCAGACTGCCCTCCCACCCACAACCAACCATCAAAACCTGCTCCCCTACAAGAGCCTTATTATGCCTGTCCTCCAACACATCTCATGTTTTTACATTTAGTCAAACTCCACTACGTATCCTGAGGCACATTTGGACTCTTCTCTTTAAAAGCTCCAGTATTTGAAACACATGAAGAATCGAGGGTTTCCAATTTAGCTAGAAAACATTGGCTCTCTAAGCTCAGCTGAAAGGCTGTATTAACATTCTGGATTTTTAAGATTTTTTTCACTTGAATTTCAAAGCACCTAGCAAAAATCAAACCTAAAACCTCACAGTATCATTGCTCCCACTGATTTTCTCCCTTACCAGTCCGGTTGATGTTTTGCTCTTATTTTTCTTAGCTAATATCTAAATGCCTTTTGGAAGTTTATCAAGACGTATATGTGAAATTACTGAGATTTTTCAAATTTATTACTACTTTTACATAGGGAGGATAAAATTTTACACAGGGAGAATAATTTTTTTTTCTTTTTAAAAGAAAAAAAACCCAGAAAAACAAAACAAACTAATAAACAGTTACCCCTGTTTTCCGGAGGGAGGAGTGCACCCTGGGCAGTTGGGATGAATATCTAGGTGCAGTCAGAATATGTAAATACAGGAGACACTGACGAGGCTGTATCTACACAGAAGCCTGCTGTTCTATATTTTCATGCTCCATTAACAACTAAACGCTCTTTCACAGTTTATAAATAATCTCCAACGGGAAGGTAGCTCTTTTGCTTACCTACTATGTGGTGAAAGAAAAGCACATTTGAAATACTTAACAAAGTGTCATTTGTGCCGAAAAATCCAAGAAGACATACCTGTGGTTTCTCTATTCCCGAAAGAATGTCTTGCACCCTTTTTACTTCCAACTCATACTCTGCATCGCAAAAAAGAGAAAAGGGAAAACAATACCGTTAGAAGGCAGCAAGGCTGTCATGTTCCTTCCCCACGGCTTTGAACCAGCACTAACATGATGTCTACTACCATCACAAATATGGTGATCAGGAGTAAGAGGCCTCTTTCCCAGTAGAGGTTATACAGCAGTTCTGTTAAACTTATCACTGTATGGTTTTAAATATTTGCAATTTTACTCGGATTAAGACCAGAGTTTCTTTTAATAATTAAACATGCCAAGCAGGGACACCAATGCAGCTGTAGGCTGAGGCAAAGAAGAAATAGGTAGGAGAGCAGTGGCCACACAATACAGAACAATCAGTCTACAGTTTTGAGTTCACTTTCGGTTTATGTGCAGTGAATGCACATGTTCTACATGGCATATTTAAGTAGAAGGGATGACATGACTTATTTAGATGCTGTGCAAATCATGCCTGTATTTAAAGGGAGGCCTGTGCAAAAACAGAGAGAGACCAGACATTTCACTGTGTAAAGGACAGAGTGGAGCTGATTGGGACTGATAATGAAGACTAAAAACCAGACTCACTTTGGCGGTGTGGGTGCTTAAAAATTAGTTGTGACAGACAACAGTGAGACAGTATGAAAAACCCAAGAATAATCCCAACTTTTGACTTGATCAGTTGTATGAGTGCGTCTTTTAGTAAGAGGAGGAAATGGACATGTTTGCTTGGGAGAATTGTAAGATTTATATTTGAAAAAGCAAAGTGTATGGAGTAGAGAGGTTAGGGCAGAAAGGATCTTAAACTGTCTTGATGGAGGAGCCTCTTCATTTTCACAAGGAGTCTGACAGGATCTAACTTTGAGTTTATGATAGATGTCATTTAACGCTTCACCAATTTATGAGCCATGTGCTATTTAGAAATACAGATTACCAAGTGTGATATGTTCCTATCCTCAAGATAGTTCAAGTTTGGTTGAAAGGGTGGGGGTGTGCAAGCACAAGTAACTACAATGTCATGTGATGGATGCCATGCTGACTACAGAGGGCATTCAAGGAGCAACCCAGATATGCAGTGGGTAAGCAGTCATCTGAAAGTCATGGCCAAGGTGGAGCTAGAGGTACCAGAGGGTCAGCAGATCCCACTCTTCTCAGAGCTGTCTGTTTTCATGGTTTGGATTTTATCTCCAAGTCACCACTTTAGAGAAAGGACAGTAACTCCTTTGTGCCAATCACTCTAGACCCTATGTCCTTATCAGTTATCAAAACCTAAAAACAGCTATTTGCCCCCTTACTCAGCCCTTTTGTGTTAGAACTTCCAAAGCAGGGGCAATATATTTCTGTGGTCAAATATCTTCAAGTTTTCTGGTCACATATAGGTACCTGTTGCATAGTCTAGCCTTTCAAATTGTTGTTATTTTGTTTTTATAACTTTTAAAATATGACAAACATCCTGGTCGGCAGACCATCCAAAAATAGGCTGCAGGGTTGCCCCTTGAGGATATGGATCACCACACACCTGCGTGTTCAGTACCATTTCTACATGGGATGACTGATGCCTAAACACATATTGACTAAGCACATGTTGACTTTACCAACAAAGTCTATGTTAAAAATAAAGAAAACTTCTAAACTTGAAAGGACCAACTTTTCATTTTTTTCCACTGCTTTCTGTTTACTAGAATAGGTTCACGTTTATTGTTGTGAGAAAAAAAAATAGCTGCCAACACCAGAATTCTAAAAAAACAACAAAGAACCTACATTCAAAGAAGTAAACATCGCTTGCTCTCTTATAATCCTCCCTGCGATACAGATCCACCCAATGGCCTGTATGCCTATTTGAAAAGTTGATATGCCTCCTACTTTCTGGAAGTCCCTGCTAGAAAACTACACATTTTATGGATGTTAAAATTTAATTGTCACAAAAAACATACGCAGATGCAATAAATAAAGTGGTACACTTGTTAACAACAATCTTTCTTGATCTCTAGCTATAAAGAGTTTGTAGAAATCTACAGTTTCAAACACCTAAGCAACCAGCTCACAGAGATAACGGTTTCTTTCTACCACGGAATGACCCATTTAGATTGTCTTAGAAGGGTTGGGACAAAGAAAGGAGGAAAGATTTGAAAAGATCTGAAAAGCAAGAATCTCAGCCCTAAGCACAGGTATGAGGGAGCAGTTTAAAAAGGATGCTTTGTTGCAGAGAAATTGGAGAGCCCTCCTTCCTTTTACACTCAGGTGACAGAAGCAATGTTTATGCTTGTGACAGAGAAGAGGCTAGATTAGAAGGAAGAAAAAAATAAGACCCATCCAAAACTGAAAAGAATGGGGTTAAGAGCTAAAATACACATGAAAGAACCTGGGATTAAAAACAACTTCCAAAGAGGGCAGAGCTTTCCTTGTCTGTCTGCCTTTAATTACAATCAAAAACTGCCATTTTCTGAGCACGTGTTCATGCTGGCCAGTGGAGTATCACCTTGCACATTTCCACAAGATCCCGTAAAAGTACACATGTATGCTCTACGGTTGGCAGCACGGATGCCTGTTGAGTACATCTTAGTTTTCATCCTCTGTGCAGGGCACATCACTTGCAAATATCTTTGTCGACTGAGAAATAAGGACCAGGAGTGGATGAGCAATGGACAACCACTAGCCTGCTGCGTCTGGTCGCCACCCTGCCATAACAGAAGCATGGCATCAAAGCCAGAAGACAATTCTGCCTGTCTTTCAAGGTTTTAATTGTAAATAGGTAGAAAGAAGAGAAGAGGTACCTTTGTTCAATGCATCTCCACTGAGGTTGCCACAAGAGGAAAAATATGAGTAAATTCCAGGCACACAATTTGTACAAACAAAAGTGCAAATAAAGTCTATATGATTGAACTAAAGTGATAGCTGCTCACCACATACAAAATATATTGTCAAAGAAAAGTTAATAGTTTGATGCAAAAATTTAAAAATTTAAAGTTCCTCTAACTAAATATCTCAATTAACTAAGTCCTTGGCCTGTTTCTCCATAAGCACAATTTAAGCATGCCTCAAGGTAGTTCATGAAGGATCGCTCTAAAAACCAGCTTTTGGAGTCCAACTGTATGAAAAGTGACTACTGAGATCCAGCTTTTCACATGTTGATGTTTCTGACTCTGTCTCTCCCTCTCTCTCTCTTACACACACATACCCCACACACAGTATGAGGAGAAAAAGAATAGTTAATCCCTTCATACAAATAACAAACAAAAAGGAATTATTCTGGTGACTCATCTTTCAGTTATATACTCTGATATCAAGTTCAAAAGAAGATTTGTTTCTGTGTCTCTCCTTCTGGAATCTAACATGTGCCAAGGGGACAGGGGACTGTGTGCTAGGGGCAAGCATTTGGCACAGGATGAAGTTACCATTTGGGATGCACAAACCCCATACTGGAACACGTGCTCCAGGTTCCAGCCTCATTCTTGGTTGCAGCCTCATGCATACACCCGAGGCAGCAGAGGATGGCTCAAGTCCTTGGGTTCCTGAGTTTTGGCCTAGTGGCATCAGCCTGGCCCAGCCCCAGCTGTAGAGGACATTTATCTATGTTTTTCTGTATTTCAGAAATGAATGATTAAACATCTATGAAAAGAGTGACTGTGCCAAGAGGCAGAAATTCAAGGTTTCTGTGGCAGGGTAAGCTTCTCCTTCCTCATTCTAGTGGATGCCTTATTTTCTCTCAATGAGTTCATGGGCCAAGCTCATGAGCCAGCTTTGTAACTCCTCTTGCCCACGAGACAGCTGCCAGGAGGTAATACAACACCACCATTTTCCACCTGCTTGAATTTTGGTGGTGAGTATGGATAGGCAGATGGGCAGGTACATGGAAAGCCCCCCCACCTGCTGCGTTCTTAGTACCCATGAGGCTTTGCATCCAGGGGGAGAAGCAATGAGCACAGTGCCCCTGCAGAGCAGGGGTATTTCAGTTTGCAGGCATGGGCACATTCAGGGTTGGAAAATTTCTCACAAAGGAGTGAAGCTGGGAGCCTGGTTTTCAAGCCTGCCACCAGTGAGCTGAGGGCCAGCTCTTTTGGAAACAACGGAAGCGGAAGGGGGTTCAGCTCAGAGGCTCAAGCATTTTCGTGCTCCTAAAAGCAATTCTCTGAAGAAAATAAAGCAATTTTAGCAGAGGCGAGGTTAAAATAAAAATATACAAGAAAGCAAATACAGTTTTTAGAAAAAGAAAAACCCAAAACCACACACATAGAAGGAAGATGTGTCATGTGAAATTTAAACTTTCCATAAATAATGGTTTTCATGTTTGTTCCAAAAAGAAATCTAAGTTCAGACTGTTTGAATAACTGCAAGGCCTAAACTAATTAAAATATCTCCCTCTATAAACACAATTTACTTCTTTGGTTTGTCTCACATTTTTTCCTTCTTAGAAAAGAACTACAGTGACACACTTATTTAGCTGCTAGCTATAGAATGCACTTTGGGTTCTAACAGCCCCTTCATTCCAGTGGGATGACATCAGCGCTACTCCTCTCCCAACCACTGTCTACTTCTCATCCACAGGCTCATTTGCACATATGTCCATAACAAAATAGGCTCTTTCAGACTTGCCCAAAGCTGAGACAGCTACTCTCTTTAACAAGCCATGTATTCTTAAACTAGGAGCATGGAAAATATGCTCCGTCTGATTATGGCCATTTTGGGGATAAACGACTTGAAGTTGACAGCAAACAGCGAACAGAAATAAACACTTGCAGATGAAAAAGAGACACACGTGACTCCTTCACAGCTCTAACAAGCTAGAGACAACCGGCAGCTCCTCCAGTCAAGGCGCATGAATAAAAATGAAGGGAAAAACACCCTGAATGCTTGCTAAATGCTTTTCCACCTAGAGAAAAAAAAAGAATGTGCTGGTGTTTTTTTCCATTGTTTAAAATGTTACATAAGCTGACAAAAAGAACAACTGATAAGAGCATACAAAAATAGCATTAACGACCTGACAATATCAACTTAGGGATGATGAGGCACTGGTTTGCAATCTA